TTTTATGGGTGCTCAATTTGTTTGGTTTGGTTTGTGGCACAAAACTGGTGTTTGTAGGCTATGCGTGCTCAATTTGAAGTGCTTATCTTTAGAGTGACTTCAATTCGATATTGTTTGATTTGTCAAAATGGACAAGTTGTTGAAAACTGGAACTCTTAAGAGGTCGGCACCTAGAAATGAAATTCGAACCACCGATTTGGCAGCTATGGATCAGCAAGATGATAATCATGAATTGCAAAGGACGACTGATTGGCCTGTTCAGGTAAGAAATAAAATTGATTTTGTTAAAAAAAAACCATCAGTGCACCTCCGAAGAAGAGACAAATATTCTAACGAATACTTAAAATATGGATTTTTCGTCACGGGTGATGAAAATTACCCAAAACCATTCTGCGTTGTTTGTGGAGAGATATTTTCAAATGGTAGCATGAAACCATCTTTACTAATGCGCCATTTAGAAACAAAACATCGAAATTATAAGCAAAGAAATATTAGTTTTTTCAACGACTATTCAAAAGCCCTAATTTAAATTCTTGTTTGATATCCACAAACAAAGCAAATGAGGCTGCGATTGAGGCGTCATACAGAGTAAGTTATCATATTGCTAAAAGTGGGGAAATCATACTATCGCTGAAAATTTGGCATTTCCGTGTATCAAGGATGCGGTTGAATGCATGTTCGGTGAAGACCATGTCCAAAATATCAAAAATATTCCTTTGTTTAACAGCACAGTTTCTCGGAGAATTAAGGACATGTCTATTGACATAGAAGCTACTATAAATGAAAGAATAAAAAGAGCCCCTTCTTTTCAATACAGGTGGATGAAAGTACTGATGTTTCCGATCTGTCAATTTTGCTTGTTATTGCAAGATATTTGAATGTTAACGAACTAGAAGGAAACCTCTTACTGTGTTATCCTCTCACTAAAAGATGTACTGGCGAGGACATATTTAAAGACATTCAGGGTTATTTCTGTGAAAACGAAATGGATTGGGCTAATTGCTGTGGTGTTTGCACGGATGGTGGAAAATCTATGTCTGTTTGTTATAAAGGTTTACGTGGTCGTATCAAAATAGTCGCTCCTCATATAACTTGGAGACATTGCTGCATCCACAGACAAAGTTTAACTACGAAGCCTTTGCCAGACTCATTGAAAGAAGTACTCAATCAATCTAACTAAAGTTGTAAATTTCATTAAGGCTAATTCAACTAACACCCGATTGTTCAAATCTTTGTGTGGAGACATGACCTACATAATACCTTAATTTTTGCACACAGAAGTGAGATGGCTTTCGCTAGGAAATGTATTCACAACAGTGTTTGAACTGAGACATGAAGTTCTTATGTTTTTTGAAGACCACTCTTTTACGTTGAGCTCTAAATTTTATGAAAGTGAATGGTTGCAGCAGCTTGCGTACTTATCTGACATTTTTTCAGAAATAAATAAACTTAATTTAGGATTACAGAACCATTCTGTAACCATTTTTAAGGTAACTGACAAAATCGAGTCTATGATTAAGAAGCTTAATTTTGGGGAATCCTGTATAAAAAAAACCAGTATGAAGTTTTTGAGACACTTCACAGCTTTTTATCTGAGAACGAACTTAAATTAACAAAACAAGTAAAAACTAGTATAATAGTACATTTAAAATGACTGAAGTTGTCATTCAGACAATATTTTCGGAAGAGCAGTGATGCAGATGTGTGGATTTTGAATCCATTCAACGAAGCGTTTTTTCAAAAAGCTGAAAAATTAACAATTTCTGAAAAAGAAAAATTAGTTGAACTTTACACTTACTCTTCATTAAAATCTGAATTTTAAAAAATTAATTTTATTGACATCTTAGTAGTAGTGAAAGAAGAGTACCAAGAAATCGGTGGTAAAGCAATAAAATATTTAATACCTTTCAAGAACACAGAACTTCTGGAAAGAGCATTCTCGTCTTATACATATATTAAGAATAAATACCGAAAGAAGCTTGACGCAACTCCAGACATGAAATTATATCTTTATTCTTTTAAACCCAATTTTATAAGACTCAGCTGCATAAACAAGCTCAAGGATCGCTTTGAAATTGTCTTGCACTTGAATAACTGATTATTACGAAGTGCAATTTTTAGCTAACCTTATAAGTTAATGTGATCCTTATTGCTATACTGTTTTTATTCGTTTCGCCGTTTAACTAATACTATTTTAAAATTCAAATAAAATATAAAATTAAAAATAAGTCCTGCAAATGTCATTAATTCACGTTGTTTGACTCTGAAGCTTACCGAAGCTCTTAACATTATTTATAAAAACTTCTTTGCATAAACGGACGGGGGGGGGTATGACAGTAGGGGGTACGCAAAAATGAAAAGACTAATCAAGGGGTACGCGAGGGAAAAAAGGGCGAGAACCCCTGCCCTAGACTACCGAGCTACGTACGCCTCTGCTTACCATTTACTCAGAATGCTTGTGACTTCGTTTAATCAAAAGCTTACGTACTAACGTTTTGCATTCTTTATCTTATTTCGTTGCCATCCGACAATTTGTCAGATGGTGTTATCATGAATTTAAAGTAACACAAAATGCGACGGATTGTAGATTTAGTTAGTCGAATCATTCCACTTAAACAAAACATCCGTAACTTTAAGCTTTCATTACACTTTCCCCCTGTTTTATCTCTGATGTAACTTTACGATTCTTCCTGCAAGTGGAGGTAAGTTTTCTAAAACTATAGAACAATAAATTTCCCTGTATAAGGAAGCGCGGAGAATATTCAATTCCTAATTTTTGTCTTTGACATTAATGTAGTGGGATCTATAAAAATAAAATTGCGAAGGGCTCGGCCGGGATTTGAAACCGGGACCTTTCGCACCCAAAGCGAGAATCATACCC